AGCTTTCACTTTAAAGGCCAGAAAGACAGTCTCTCCCCTGCAATTTGTTAAGCAGAGTCTTTATGATGTAACGTAGTAATATCTCACCACCTTTGCCATATTATTTTGGTAAGAAGCAACAAGTTCTGCCTGCTGAAAAGAGAAGGGCTTATACAAGGGTATGACTCATGAAGAGTCACTTTAGGTCATGCCTGTCATCGTGGTTTAATGAAATCAAGAGTTTATATCGTATCCATGCAAAGTCTGCTGCAGTTTTCAGTAACTATGCAGGGCAGCTTTCCTTCACGTGGAGTCTCAGACATCTAGGCTACCTCAGTTAGTGACACTATCATCTCAATTCGAGATACCTTCTTTAAAACTTTTGATTACACATGCACACGCACACACACACACACACACACACACACTCACACACACACACACAAAGTGGTTGTTGTACTGTAGTGATTTAATTATGAGCTCTCAAAATTTATATGTTAACCCTAAATGTGACTATAGGAAAAAGGCTTTTAAAGAGGTAATTGATTTTAAATAAAGTCATAAAAGTGGAGCCCTAATCCAGAGATACCAGGGATACACATGATAGAGAAAAGACTGTGGGAGAGCACAATGAGAAAGCGGCCATTAGCAAGCCAAGGAGAGAGGCCATGGGAGGCACAAAATTTGCTGACACCTTAATTTTGGACTTCCAGTCTCCAGAACCATGAAAAATGAATTTCTATTGTTTTAGCTACCTAGTCTTTGATATTTTGTTATGGCAGCCCTAGCAAACAAATACAACATAAAAGAAAAATAAATGTTATTAGCCTAATATTTACAGCTTTATAGCTCTTTATCACCTATTTGCTTATTGATTTTAGTAGACAACCTGTAAATTACATATTTGTTTTTTTAATTCTCATTCTACAGATCAGAAGGAGGCTCTCAAGAGCAATGTAACTAATGCAGTTACCTATTCCCAGTTAACTCGTGGACCAAACTCAGCACAATGTTTACTTTGTATTCTGGGATAATCCAAATTTTCAATAATGAGTTATCTCAAGCAAAAGTGATTAATTGAGAAGCCTATAAACATTTGCTTTTGGCTACAAAGGGATGTATGGACTAAGATTGCTGCCCCATATAAACTTCAATTTAATTGGAAATTACCAAGGAATATTTATTTTAGCAGTTGCAGCTTGGGGTTTAATTATGTTTTAATTTTTTTATGGTTTTAGAAAACAATATCTGAAGGAAATAATTATAACAACAATATCTCTGGTACTATTATTAGGGTGCACATGTCACTGGTCAGGTCTCTATGAGAGGAATAGCCAGGAATTTCAAACAGTTTGGGCAACTTTTGTTAAAACTGTAAATATGACTGGGGGAGTAAATTCTTCTTTTGCAAAAGAGATGATTGTTTAAATAATAAGGAAATGTCCCCCACCCCCGTTAAAGGTTGGTCTTGTTAAGTGCACTCTTCCACAATGTGGGCAATCACTAGTTTCCATGGTACATTTAACATAATTAATATATGCATTTGTATTTGCAAGGGTCTTTCCTCTTTTTCCTTTGTTCCTGAAACAAACTCTACTCATCTTCATACCTGTTTTCTTGGCTGGCTACTAGCATCTGTCCTTAAAATATGCTTTAGTTCATTGAATTTTCAGAGAGTCAAATTTGCTGAAATACATAGAACTCAGTCATACATCACAAAAAGTAGTTTTTCTCTATTTTTCTTATTGTCCAAAATAGTTTATTTTGCTTAGTGTTTCTGTTTTAATACATGTATTTAGTGTCATTTAGCTATAGTTTTTGTGAGATTTTTAAATTGCCTAAGTTTAATACTTAAGTTTAAGTCTTCTAATCCTTACCCTTACATCATAATCTTATTTTCTATGGGACTTGAGTTGTGTCTGTTTTTTTTTTAATTATGATAAAAGCTCATTTCTATTTCCTGCCACTGTCACCACAATGAACCATTCCATGCCACATCAGAACATCATCTGAGGCCCCAGTCTAGTCTCATGTAGGAATGCCCATCCTAGCTCTTGCTTCAATAAGTTGATGACATTCTAAAAATTCAAATAAAGCTCAGGATCTCCCCATCAAGCTCCAGAATAGTGGTCAGCTCCTATTTTCCAGTTAAGTCTATTAGGGTTTATGTGCTGGAGGTTTTGCTTTAGGTTAACAGACTGCTGTAGTGTTAATAAAAGCATATGCAAAACTGCACACACCGTCTTTTTTTTTTAAGTAAGTGCCTATTAAAAATAACTATATGATAATTAATGAGGAAGGAAGGTAATACAGTGTATATGGTTTGTCAATATTGTAGTTAGGTCATTCATCTGTGGAGCAGTGGTATTCACCTACTTTCTCCTTTGTTTCAGAGACATAGAGTTAATATTTCACTTCTTATTTTAGACACTCTCACAAGCATTATTTTAAACGGGCAAACAAGGACCACTTCCAAGATAAAGAAAGTTGCCATTTTTGATGATGAATCCATAATGAAGGGAATCCTCATTCCAAATGGACTTCTGTAAGGCATCATTCTCCTGAAGCTACGTATGTGGGACCAGTTAATGAATGTTCAATTAAGTTGTAACATACTTAGAGACGTGGGCGATGTTTATGTGACACTAGCTTACTTTAAAACACTCCCTATTGACCTTTGCAAAAATAATACGATAGCAATTTGAGATGAATATTTACAGTAGGTGGAAATAGTTCTGAAGTGCTAATTCCCAAACCACTGTTTGTAAAATGTTCTGCTTCTTTGATCTATGTTTTCATAGGCTTCTTCAGGCAGAGACGAGTAAGATTGCCAAGTTCAACAAGACAATTTCTTATTTGAGAACAGATGGCACCTGCAGCTCTTAAATGGCAGGAATCAAGTAGACCAGGTTACTTAAAAAAATATCATTTAATTTGTCACATGATAGAATCTGCATCAGAACTACTAGATAGCTACATTTGAAGAAGCTTAAAAATACATAAATTCAAAGATAATATATCATTTAAGTAGAAAATCTGTAAATAGTAATACTTAATACTTTTACGTTAAAAATACTATTTTAAAAATGAGTTCTGTTTGTTGATGAATAGCGTCTTTGCAGTGGATATCTCTCTATTCAGGACTTATGTATGTGTAAGTTGTGGGAGAAATATTTTAAACCAAAGCTGTAAAATCATCATAGTTAGAGAGCTAACATGAGGATTTTTACTTCATTTACATTCATTACATATTATGAGTTTAATTACCTTCCTCAAATAATACCAGTATGAGGGAAAGATGCTGAAGAAGGCGTACTTCTATGATGATTTTATTGATTGTGACTGATGGATGGCATCAACATTTCATAGTGAAGAATCATGGTTTTGTTACATCAGGAAAATTAAATTGGGAGAGTTATTTTCTTTCCCAGTGATAGTGGCAGTTAGAATATTTCACCTGTAATGAGATGTGTGCGTTATGTGCCATCGTGAACCACGGCTCAGCCATTAAATATATGTAAATGAAGAGAAACACAAGAGAGCTCGGGCATAATAACGTGCAGAACAGAGAAATGGATCCTGGAAAGTGATTAATTTATTTGATGATGCCTCAAGTGAGGAATTTTAGGTCACAAATGAAGTGACAGAATGACAAATTACCATTTTAAAGAATTTACTGGGCATCATTACTGAACAATTGTCAGGTAGTTTATGGTGGCTGAGAAGATGGTATAAATATAGATCTTTTCCTTATCTGAGATGAATTATTAATCACCTTTTTAAAAATCTTTGTGAGTGATGGTTGGCCGTCTGATTGGAAATAATGTGTTCTACAATTTTAACTAAATTCTAATATGATATGTAACAGGAATCTTTACAATTAAAGTCTCAGTGGAGAGTGGTAGGAGGTTTACAGTCAATTGCAGTTTTAATGTGATAGAAGAGGATGAATCCACTAGCATGTTTCAATAGATTTCTTTAGGTATATTATCCCTGCTGTGATGTTATTCAAATGTTTACAGTTTATTTTCATTTGAAAAATGACATTCAGATACTTAAATTGTTTTCCTTGGTTTATTAGTTAATGAAAATGGAATTCTAGTAATTACTATAGTTTTGCAGCCTGCCACATTATTTAAAGTGAAGTGACTGCCTTTGTCAGTGACATTATAAATGTCGTCTTCCTGTGTTTTGTTCAATTTTTGTTTGCTTTATCTATGTCATGTCCCTTCTCTGTCTATGTCACAGTGTCTAATACCAGTAACAACTGGAGTGTGAAAGACAAAGTCAGAATTTGAAATAAAGACATTTTCTCAAGTTTCTTTGTATGTTTTTATGATTAACGCATGTACTGACCTGCTTTGTACATAGTATTAACAACTCCCCCCCAAAAAATAAAAACAAAACTCTAATATGAAGTGCACTAAAAAATCTAAACGCAAATGTCTGTTTATGTTAGACAATTTAAACCAGAATTTATATATCTATTCAAATATGATCAGCCTCTTAGACCAAATGTATTTGCTATTGGAGAGGGTTTTTGTGTGTGTATGTGTGTATTTTAATAAGGATTAAAGACAGGGGTTGTTTTTTAAACAATATATGCTAGTTATTTAACAGAGTAGAAATGTCTAGAGAATCATTTTTGACAAGCTTGCTCCTCAGCAAGCAAATAGCAGTTGCTACTTTGCATTTTAGATGGGAAGTCCCTAAATGACTAATCTTTTACCTGGAAGAAAGCTTTAGATTTTGCTCCTTTTTCTCTATTATGTGCACTTTCTCATTTCAATCTTGATTCATTCTGAGGATACATGAAAAATTTAAATAAGTATTTCCCATGTTACCCATGACATCTTACATTACTGAACAGGCAAGAAATTTAAATTTTGAATATACTGCTGCTTTTTAATTCATTTTGTTTTTACTTTTTTCCCCTTCAACCTAGATGGTTGAATTTTACTTAATCTTCTGTCATTAAAAAAAGAAAACAAATAGAATTTTTTTTTTTTTTTTAATTTCAGGGTCCAGTCTATGTCATGCTGCGTTTAGAGAATACCTTGGCTGTGCTTCTTCTGCACAGTGCTTTCCTTTTCTGCAAAGGATACTGAGGTTTCTCTTGGTGTGAATAATGGCACATTTCAGGTAAGTCCATCCCAATATTTCTCCATTAGAGAAGACCCTCATCTCTACTTTCCTTTTGTTCTTGCTTGCCACAGAAAATATAAACATGCAAATAAATAAATGTGGGCATGCCTTTCTAGAGAAAACTCAAATCCTGTATAAAGTACTATAGAGAGATTGAACTTGTTTAACCTAGCACAGTTCAGAGTAGTCAAGGGTATTATCAGAGAAAGAATGACTGCTTTATGTGAACTGAGCTCTTCTGCCACACTTTAAATACTTTTCGTCTTCTGCCAGCTTACATCAGCTCCTCAGAGGGAACTGCAAAAATGAAATGAAGATGTCTTTGACTCCAAAGCACTGAGAGAGCAAAAGAAAAGATTTTTACTTGGGATGGTGAAGAATAGATTTTAAATGAACATACAGACGTGGGAAAGGAGGTGCCTTGTGCACTTACAAAACTATGATTTTGGGCCCTTCACATGATTCAAGACTATGATAGAGGAAGAATGAGAACATTTGATTAATTGAAATTTCAATGAATGGTCACTATGCCAAGTGTATAGAGAAAAATGTATGTTAGCAATGCCCTTAACAATCTTACAAATGATGAGCAGTTGGGCCACGAAAAATGTCCAGACATTTCTTGCAATTCTACAACTTGAAATTCCTGAGTAGTTTTATTATACCAAAATGACTTAATTATGTTCATTTTTATTTTTATTTTTTTTTCATTCTACCAATGTCAGTTTATTGTAGGAAGAGTGTTTTTCTGACTCCCTTTTCTTCTCCAAATCCTTGTGGTGGCATTTCTCCTATAAAAAAAAAAAGAAAGAAAGAAAGAAAAAGAAAAGAAAATATGACCACATAGCCCCAGAAGCCTTCTTTCTACTGCTTATTTTTACAATATATTCTTATAAAAATTTTCAAATGCATAGCAAGTGACATCCATGTTGCCATAACCTATATTATACCATTCATATTTTACTATACTCATTTTATCATATATCTATCCGTCATCAATTCATCTTGTAATTTTTAATGTTTTTTCAAGTGAATTGTAGACACTATTACATTTCTCTTAAAAGCTTCAACATTTGGTTACTATTAATCGAAGTTTAATATTTATTTATTTTCTCATGGTAAATTTTAAATATAACAGAATGTGTACTTGTTGAGTTTTGATAAATGCAGATATTGATACAACCCAAACCCCTATCAAGAGATAGGAACATAACTATCACCCCAGACAATTTCTTCATTCCCTTTCCAATCAATATTCTACCTCCACTCCCAACAGAGGAAACTGCTCTTTTGATTTTTTTCCAATAAAAATTAGTTTTGTTTCTGTTAGAATTTCATATAAAACAGAATCATATAGTATGCACTACTTTGTGTCTGGCTTATATAACTCTTTCAAACGGTTTTTGAGATTTACCCATGTTGTCACATATATCAGTAAGTTTTTTTTAATGGCTTAATAATACTACATTTTTCTGAATACACAGAAGTTTATCTATTCTCCTATAAATGGACAGTTGGGTTATTTTGAATTTGAGGTATTATGAATAAAGCGGAAATAGATATTCTTTTCATAGACTTGTTATTTCTTTCGAATACATACCTATGAGTAGTATTGCTGGCTCATAAAGTATATGGTTATTACAAAAAAATGACAGACTTTTAAACAAAATTATTGTACCATTTTATATTCTCACCAACAATAAACAAAAATTCTGGTTGATCTACCTCCTTGACAACATCTAATATTGTCAGTGTTTTTATTTTAGGCTGCTTTGCACTTTCACTTTTCTAGTTTTCCCCTCGTCTTGTTTATGTCATCGAACACTCTCTTTCTTCAGGATTTTTTTTTTAATCAGCCTTCAAACATGTTCTGGTATTTTCCTCCTTTAAAAACAAAACAAAACAAAACAAAACAAAACATTTTTGACCAAATGCTCCCCTCCAGCTACCTAATTATTTCTCTACTCTCTTTAAAAACTAAGCTTTTCTTCTTAATTAACTAATTTGCCTTCATTTTATCACTTTAATCTACCTGACTTCTAGATCCTGGGTTCCTAGACCCTTGGCCCTGGGCGCTCTTATGTTCTAATTGTTCTGTTAGGAGAATAGTGTTAATTCCTATGACTTTTAAATCAATCTCTATACTAACAATTTTCAAATTTACAACTCTAACATGGACTTCCCTGTCAGTTTCATTTGTCTAGTTTTCATTTCTACATGCCCATGATTCTGATATCTCCAAGTCATCGTATCTGAATTTTAGCTTGCAGTCTTCAAATTATTCTTTTCCTCTGGGATTCTTAATCTCTGCTAAGATTATGTGTTCCCTATTTTTACTGTCTGGAAAAAAAAAATCTAGTAATTTTCAAACCTAGTTAAACAACCTAAAAGCTGTATTTCAGGAAAAATAAAAATAATCTAAAAGAAACACCTAAAATGCCTAATGTCCAAAAATAAATTAAACAGTACTTAGAATGAATAAGAGACATAGCTAAAGTTGTTCACAGTGGAAATTTTGCTGCCTTAAGATACTTGTATCACAAAAGAAGAAAAATAAACATGAATGAGTTAAACAATTAATTTCAGGTAATAGAAAAGAAACAAAAAAAAAAAACTTGAATTAAATAAAGGATGAAAGAAATAAGGATAAAAAATAAAATAGAATTGATGGAGGAAATAAAACAAGTAACATGTCAAAAAAGAAAACCAATAAGATTTTTTGAATAGACTAATAATATTGTCAAATCTTCAGCAATACTCATTTAAATAAAAGAGAGGAGGTCCAAATGAAATTTGAAATAAGAAAACAAGCATAAATGCAATAGAGATTAAGGAGATAATAAAAAAAAAACATTTATATTTTTGCCAATAAATTAGAAATTTTGAAAATGCAACTAATTTGTCACATTCCCAGCAAAATTTAGCCTACTTAAAATAACTCAAGAATAAATAGAAAATATGAATGGTTCTATAACTATTAAAGGTATTAAAATAATAATTAAAGTTATCATTTTAAGAATTACCAAATTCATGACTCTTGCCAAATGGCTCCAAGCAGTACACAAGCTGCTGGCCAAACTTGGCCTGCTGCAGGGTTCCTCCCAGAAGGTCCTGGGGCTGGCACGTTGGTGGCCAGTTTCGACCCAAGCTGGAGCACCACCCATGGCTGCATCTGAGGATGACACATCCAAAGAGTAGACTGGGTAGGCACCAGAACCCTTCTAAAGTGAATCTTACTCTGTAGAGTTAGCTCCTTACTGGTCAGTCCTCACAGCCAATCGTCTTGAGGGTCAGTCTCTCTCACTGATGTGCAAACAGGAACTAAGTCTCAACTACAAGATAAGGGCACACACAACCCACATAAAGGACACACCTGAAGCACCTGACTCAGGTGACCAGGGAAGACTATGCTACTGGGTCTCACAAGATACCTACTCCATAAGGCCACTTTACTAAGACTGAGACTTAGGAGCCCTACCTAGTACACAGGGAGGCCATCCAAATGAGGAACTTCTGGGTGTTTATCTGAAGAAACCCAAAACACTACTTCAAAGAGACATATGCATCCATGTGTTTATTGCAGCTTTATTTATAATAGCCAATATATGGAGGTAACCTGGGTGTCCATCAATAGATAAATGGATAAAGAAGAAGTGATATATATATACAAAGGAATATTGCTCAGCCATAAAAAATAATAGAAAAAAGAATGAAATCTTGCCATCTGCAACAACATGGATGAACCTAGAGAGTATTGTGCTGAGTGGAGTAAGTCAGAAAAGAAAAATGCCATATGATTTCACTTATATGTGGAATCTAAAGAACAACAACAACAACAACAACAAAACGACCAAACAAAACAGGAACTAAGTCATAAATATAGAGAACATTTTGAGAGTTGCCATATGGGAGGGAGTTTTGATAGGGTTAAGAAGTAGAAATTGATAGTTACGAAATAGTCACAGGGATGTAAAGTATAGTATAAGGAATATAGTCAATAATATTGTAATAACTGTTTATGGTGTCAGATGGATACTAGATTTATCATAAATTATATAAATGTATAATTGCTGTGTTGTACACTTGAAACTAATATTCAATTGTATGCCAATTGTAATTGAAAATCTAAAAAATATGCTAAGAAAAGAATGACCAAATTCAGAAAGTTTTACAGGGTGATTTAAACAAATATTAATTAAACATCGAACGATGTTAATACCAAATGTAAACAAACTAGTCCAAAGACAATTAAATAAAAGGTATTTCACAAAACAAAAACACGCAAAAATGTGTATGGCTTCAAATAACACTGAAATTAGAATCAAACAGAAAATGTATAAGAAACAAAAAATTATAGGTCACTATCGATCATGATTTTATATACAGAGATGCAAAGTATTAACAATGAAATCCATCAATGTGTATAATATATAAACCATACAGTGTTTATCCAGAAATTCAAGCTGTATTTAACATTGGAATAGTTATCAATTTAATTGTCCATCTTAATTTTTTTAAAGGACCCAATTATAAAAAATGCAGAGAAAAACATTTGGACAAAGTAAATATCATTTTTTTTTAATAAACAAGTAAAACAAAAATAAAATAGCAGAAAACTAAAGAAACTAGAGAAATTCTTTAATCTGAAAAGAGTATCTATCAAAATTTTGTATCAAATGACATCCTGATGTTGAAATATTAAACTCCTTCTTATTAAAATTAGGAGGTGAAATGCTTGTTTTCATCCATTTCTACTGAGCATTTTTTTGCATTTTGAAGTCAGTATAATGAGACAAGAAATAAGTGGTACAGATATGTTGAAAAACTAAAAACTGTCATTAGTAGATATGACTTGATGCAATTTATTAAAATAAGAATTTTGTAAGTATATACATTTATATGTAGCACATATAAAAATTATATATATCACCTCAATTCATGAAAAATGATATAACTATACTGATAACAGTCAGAATAGGCAGGCAAAAGCATTAAGCAGTATTTAAAAATCAGTTAGAAAAAGAAAGCATTATAATCAAAGAAGAGAAAACACGTGAGCAGGCACGTCACACAAGAGGAAACATGAATAATTAATAAACAAAATAGTGCTCAACATTCTAGACATATATAAGGAAATAAATTGAAATATATGCATTTAGTAGAAGGTATCATGCTGGTAAAGCGATATGCCTCTTCATGGAAGACTCCTACAATGATAAGATTTAGTAAATCAGCATATTGCACTCATGCTTTCATTCACATAAAGATAAAAACAATGCAAAAATGAACCACATTTATTTATGAATGCATGCACATGTGGTTAAATGTATTTTTTATAAAAGTGAATTGTGAATACTAAATTCAAAATAGTAATTATCTTAGAGAGATGTAGGAGGGGCACGTAATTTTATTATAAACAGTATTCTTTCAATGTACTCTTGATGTCATACTTCTCAAACCAGGTGGCTATTATGTAAATATTTAGTCTAATATTATTCTTTGTATTTTACATGAATATTGTACATTTTGACATGCATAAACTATGCATAATAAAATTATATTAAAAATAATATAATTCTATTTTTATGTGAATAAAGACCTCAGTCTGAAGATAGAAAAATCTGATATTATCCTATGTAAAATGAATATAAACATATTTTACATAGATATGTTTTTTAACATCTTATAAAGACAGAAAAATTATATAAACCTAATAAAAGTAAAAAGGAAGATAAAAAACATCAAAATCATAATTTCCTTTGTAACTAAATTTATTAAGACAAATAGTTCTACTACTGTATAGGATTCTTACATTTAATTTAGTATCATTATCTGTAAAAACAATAAAATGACATTATAAATTAGGTGAAGTCTTAGAAGCTATAGTCTTCATTATCTTTTTGGGGGTGGGACACTCCTTAAATCATGATAATATAATTACCAATTTAAGTTGTGCAACCTTGGCCTCACGATTGCTGGTATCAGGCTCTGATAATTGGTGCTGGATTGGCAACCTAAATTTTATTTCACTTTATATTGTTTTGAACTCCATCTAGAGTAGAAGATTTCCCTCAGAAATTCTTTCTTGTTAGTCTTCAGGCTTGCTTAGATTCTGTGCTTTCAAATTTACTCTGGTTTCTTATTAAATACAAATTAAGCATTGTTTCTACTGTAAAAAAACAAATTTATGGCATGAGATTTTATTAGCCACCAAATAAGAAGCTATAGCACCTTTATGAGAAAGAAAAACATTACTTTACTAGGATTAATATGAAAGGAAAATGAAATGACACCACAATAAAAGTCACAATACTCATTAAGTAAAATCAATTATTGGAAAATATTCTGTTTAGATATTAATTTGCTGTGAGAAATTAATTTGCTGCTAGGACATTAATTTCCTAACAGTTTGAATGACTCTAGGGAGATTTTTAAATAAATTAAAAACTGCGATTCAGTTTAAATTCTAAAAACAATTAAAAAATGAAGAAACAGAGTAGCCTACTTAAAACATATTGTACTTCTTGAATCTGTGTAGTCAACTCTTTTAAATATTTTAGAAAATTCTTAGATGTTACCCTCAAGTATTGTCTCCCCAACATTCTCTGTATTTATTATTATTATTAGACATATAACTTTTGGACATCTAATTTTTCTTCTATATTTTAATTTTTTAATTGCTTTTTTTAATGCCAGGCAATTTTTTCAG